TAGTGTCAGAAATCACAAGTATGTTGTATATATATAGTTTGATCTTTCTATTACATTCCTTCGACTTATTCCCCTTAGAAGAAACGGTCTGTCGCAATCGCGCTATCCATGACGAAATACCGCCTAGTAGTCTCCCTTGCTATACTGGCGAGACATTAGAAGATTGCACTATCTAGAACACTCCTAGCGGCAAACTATCTTCCAGAGAACATTACTTTCAATACTTTGTCCCTGAACCACTGGCTCACTGGCATACGCAACCTTCTTGTTATACGTCTTTAAACACTGGCATTGCTTTAAATCTCGACACCCGTTGCTTGTTATTAAAACGTCTCTGGGGTTCAAAATAAAACAGCCCTGTCTCGTACCATGTGAGTAACTCAGATAGCTTTGTTTAGAGTCGAAACGATCGTACCTTTCAAATATATCTATCAATTTTTTTAAACGATTGACCTATCGTTTAGATATCTACAAATGGGGGTTCAGCGGGTACACAGATTCTTAAATTTCAATCACTTGGTAGGAGTTTCATGTGTCCAGCTTTCTGAAATGCCAACCATAGGAGATATTTCTGAAACAGGATAACAACCATCATCGGTAATTATTGCTTAATCTAGGAGGGTATTTCAGATTTAGTTTCAATCTTCATTTTAGCATTGCAAAGTAGCCACTAGTCACTAGTGCAAACATGTACCATTCAACAATAGACGAACTGGTTTAATAACTATCGGGTAAAGACAAAAATGTGTACGAGCATTGCTCTTTAAACGCTTTTGCAGTCTGCTTAGGCGTGAGGCTTTTTTATTGTACGGGAGCTGTGTGGTGAAATTTTTTATCAAATGGCTCATACCACAGTATTAGTTTAAATGTATTTTTTTCAATTACCTAAATAGGTAAAAAAAATCTGTATCCAATCATTGCTATCAAATTCATTGTCAAAACAAAAAAACCGAGTAACGGTTAACTAAATGTTTAATTTTAGCCCTTGTTAGCTGCCAGATGGCCTTTACCCAACCGAGGCAAATTCACAAGAAATAGAAGCCTACAATTCCCAGGCAGCCTCAGACTGGATAACCTTTTTGGTAATGCGGGGACGGAAGCTTCGCCCAGGTAAAGTACAAATACATCTAAGCATGACTTTTAAAATATATTTATGTGTGAATCGGTGTTTAAATCAGTTTTTGTAATATATCAACGTGGTATCCTGCAATACTCAGACCAGAACAAATGCACAAGCACCTTACACATCAAAACGTCAGATGTCAACTTCTTTTTCAAAGTCATTTCAAAAGCAAAAATAAAATTCACTGGTAAATGTATTATGTTAGTGAAAACATGTGATTTTAAAGAAAGGACGGGTAATTTATATTGTTTAAGGAAAAAAACCAATGATTTTTTTCAAAGGCGCCCAAACGTTGTGAGTAGCATATAGATATAGTAAAAATAATGCAAAAAACATAAGTCTTGTTCAAAACTATGAATAAGTGTTTGCATGGATATATTTTTTATCAAACAACTGCTGAAAAAGCAATTTGTCGAAAGCAATTTAAAAAAAATAGTAAAGGTTTTTATTCGTATTTTGGTCATGCGGCAAATTTCAGGACAAGTTTGGCGACAATTTTCCGCACATTTAAAACATTGATTTTAAAGGAGGATACCTGGTGGTACTTAATATTGGAACCACGAAACTTGAAGGCAACCCTTGTTTTACGTAACAAAATTGCATAGTTGTTTGGGAATGATGGATGGACGTTTCACAAACCAAGAACTACTGCATTTATTCCGTCTTTGCGTATTGCAGAGTTATCTTCTCGTGGGAGCAGTTATTGATTGTTACGTCATTGGTGTGTGTGAGAAAATTACGTCGTTTTCTCAAAAATTGATGACGTTTCTCTCACAAACAAGTGACGTAACAATCCTTACCTGCTCCAAAGAGAAGATAACTCTGCAATACGCAGACGGAATACCAAGGACAGGAGTACGATAGGCATCGATCATGTTTAAAGTCTCTCGATGTCTTGGTGATAGATGAAGTTAGCATGATAAGTTGAAGGGTTGTCACTCACTCTGTGGTGTCTTTGTATGAGATGATGTAAAGTTTATATTTATATAAACTTCATTTATTTTGCAACAATTCTGAAACACGCTATTTGAACTTATATTAATCATTGTTGTTGGCACAGATGTTAAACAAGAGGCACATGGGCCTTAATGGTCACCGGAGTCCTACAATATTTATTTTTGTTGTTGAAATATGTACCAATTTGAGTAAAAAATAGTTAAGTATAACATTAACTTAAGTTTGTCAGGACCATGAGCTGATCATTCCTAGACCGAGTTTCAGTTAGATCGGCCTATTATGACTTGTTTTTAAGTTTGAAATAGTTATTTTCAAAAAAGCGGCCGCAGCCAAATTGTATTTCTGATCGACCCGAAAAATAACAACACTGTCAGGACCATGAGTTGATCAATCCTACAAAGTTTCAGTTCCATCGGCCCAGCAGAACTTGACTTTAAGTTTAAAATAGTTTTTCAAAATGGCAGCAGTGGCGGCCATATTGGATTTCTGATTGACCCGAAAATAACAACACTTTTTCAGGACAATAAGTCGATCATTCCTACAAAGTTTTAGTTCAATCGGCCTAGCAGAACTTGACGTTAAGTTTGAAATAGTTTTTCAAAATGGCGGTCGTGGCGGCCATATTGGATATCTGATTGACCCGAAAAAAAAAACTTTGTCAGGACCATGAGTTGATCATTCCTAGCAAGTTTCAGTTCAATAGGCCCATTAGAACTTGACTTTAAGTTTGAAATATTTTTTGAAAATGGCGGCCGTGGCGGCCATATTGAATTTCTGATCTACCCGAAAAATAACATCACTTGGTCAGGGAGATGTCAGTAACCTTCCATGAAATATTAATGAAATCCCTTTGCCAGTATTTCAGCTTAAGTTGAAAATGTAAAATGTTAACGGACGTCGTACGACGACGCTTGAGCTATAGCTCAGGTGACCTAAAAATCACCATCACCATAGCAAGTTTCCATTGTTTGGGAAAACCTCCAGTTTTCAAAGAAAAGCGAAACTAAGAATAAGGGATAGGCAAATTCAGTTGCAGTGTTTTAATGTAATACATAGTACGGGGGATTGAAATGTTTCCCACAGCTTTACCAATATTTAAATAGCAAAGGTATGATTTATATTAAACGATATTTAACACTATGTCAGAAATGTTTGAGTTGGATCTAGCTTCTACAACAGGTAAGTCAGTGTCAGTATGGTCAACAGTTGATATAGAAACAAAGCAATTTAGTATGTTAGTTGTAATGTCGTCATCCATTTCCACTGTCCGTAAATATCGGGAAACGATTCATTTGTCCTTTTTTCTAAGATTATCAACACTTTTCCGCTATTTCAGAAAGTTGTTGAAGTTATGACGAGTATGATTGGTTTTATAGTTCTAGATAAATCTGTTTCGTTCATAAATTTCACGCCAAAGGTCATTATTCAACCAGGGCTTGTCATCGGGTCTAATTGTCAATATATGTGATGGAACACGTTTTTGGCTTTTTCCAATAGTCTTGGTGTAAAAATATCACAAATGTCGAACGGAAAGAAGGGAAGTTAGTCCCAGTCGATTCTTCTAAAAGACAAGAATGATCCAAATTCAAATAACTATTCATAAAAGATATTTTATGGGTTTCTTTAACATAAACTTTTTCGAAAAGCAGGTGATATATAATAGTAACTTCAAAGGAATACTCTATTAAAATAAAATTTCATTTAAACAACAGATCCAGTAAAGGTTAGGTTATGATTTTTTTTTATACCTTTTCATAATAAATAATAGGTTTATGAAGCTTTAAAAAGTTATACCTAACAAATACGATTTCTCCATTTTTCAGTACCTCAGAAAAGCATAACTTTTTTGTACCTTTTTAGTAACTAAATAAAGTTATAACTTTACTAGAACTTTTTCTGTACCTTTTCAGTATCTCAGAAAAGTATAACTTTTTTGTACTTTTTTAGTAACTAAATAAAGTTATAACTTTATTGTACCTTTTTACTATAACTAGAACTGTTTCTGTACCTTTTCAGTATCTCAGAAAAGCATAACTTTTTTGTACCTTTTTAGTAACTAAATAAAGTTATAACTTTATGATACCTTTTTCACTAGTGCTTTAGTGGCTAAATGTAACTTTTGTGTACCTTTTGTTTGCAAATAAAGTAATGATTGAACTGAACAAAGTGTTTGAGTGTAACTTTTTAATACCTTTTTGTAACTTTTTAGTACTAGATTGAAACTCTCTTCTCACAAGGTTCCAATCTAGCATCAAAAGTTATAACTTTTTTGTACCTAAATAGAAGTAACTTTTTTGTAACTTTTTTCGGTATGGGCACTATTACCACTTTCGTCTTTGTGAAAAATAGATGACCCATCATTCTTAGCATCGTTCACATAAAAGATCCCGTCGGTCGCGTCGACCCCGAACTTGTAAACAACCACATTTGGTGACCCTTTGAATTTCGTCTTCAATACATTAAAGAATCTTTCCACAGGTTCCAAAACGACGTATTTGCCGGGATGGAAGCGCGAGTTGAATTGCTCAACATCGACTCCGTTGTGTCCCCCAGCCTCTATCATAAAACTCTTGTTGTTGATATATGTATGACTTGACCAACGTACATCTCTTTTGATTCTCTCTTCTTTAAGTCCCTTCTGGTACTCCTGTTCATAAGTCGAAATACACCTATTCACCCGAGCGATCTGTGTGCTTGTGAATGTATCGCCAAAGTCTATGTAAGTCATATTTAAACCACAAAGCCTTGTTGAAAATCGGGGGCGGTACAGTGTGTGGTGGTAGTTATCTTTATAGAATACTTTCTCGGTGAAAACTTGACCCTGATTTGTCCCCGTAACGATCATCTTCACCTCGGACTGTCCCATGTACATATACTGACATATCAATCCCATAGAAAAGGCGACCATTGTCAGTAATACCTTATACTTGGTCGACATCTTGTTTTTCTGAAAATACACAAAAAAATGAACATTTAATCATTATCATTGCACAACATCTGATATAGTAACCTACTATCATGTTCAAATAAGCCATTCTAAGACCATTAAAACAAAAACATACCATCAATACATATGAGATATCGCAGGTTCTGCATCAGAAGGGGCTAATTAATAGGCATGTGCCACCTTGCTAAATATCTCCACAAATATGCATAAACCTTCATAGATTTCCATAAATCAGAAGATTTCCTCAAATTATTTGAAATTCCTCAAAATGACTTGCAAAAACCCTCCTCAACAGAAAACCTTCCACTTTTCTCCTAAACTCTTGAGATTGTCCTCCAATCCTGAGATTTCCTAAAGGTCACTTGTATAAAAGTAAAATATGTAGTTTTCCTAAAATAATTCTGAGAATTTCCTCAAGAGACCGTGCTTCCAACGACATTTTACAGCAGAGAGATTGTTGCACCCACCCAAGACCTTTTTATGCTCCACTTTGGATGAATAAATTTGTGTTGGGTAAGCAGCAGAAAAACACCTTTTCGGGACAAACATGATACAAAAAAATCAGGGATTTAGCCCAGACTGTGTGCATGGAAAGCCAAAGTGTTAACATATCGGCCAGTAGACTTTACAATTATGTCTCTAAAACGTTACCTTGTAGAAATACATGTATATTGTCCGATTCAACATTGATAATGGTTTTATCTTACTTTTTATTATATAGTTTAGGGACTCAAAAGTAGAGGATTGTATGTTATGATTAGTTTCTATACGTAATTCATGCTAATTATTATTTTGCAATTTACCACTACTTTGTGTGTCTTTTCAGACCGTGTTGGTAAATGGGACTCTGTTCCGTTTACTATAAAATATGTTTATTCAGCAATGAACACGGTCTGAAAAGACACAAAGTAGTGGTAAATTGCACAATAATAATTAGCATAATTACGTATATAAACTAATCATAACATACAATCCTCTAAAAAGAGTTAACATTAATCCTTAGTGAAATGCTCCGGGTATCTAGGCGTTGGGTTTTCGTGTGTTTTCCTGTCAATATCACCAAAAAGAATGCAGTTCACATCACTAAACTCTTCAGGTCAAAAAAATAAATGAAATAGTTTCAAGTGCGGGAATGATAGTAATGACTCACAGTTACGCGTACGAACACGCAATCACGTGACAAGACATTAAGTTAACATGACAATATATTACACAGGTGACGAATACTCAGATGGACATGTGGACTCACAGACAGATTTGACAAGTACATGTATTAAAATAGATGGCGTTAGAGTTAGACATACGCTGTAATAAAATAATTTTAAGTACAGAATAATTAATACTTATACTACAAAAGTACCATTTTGGTTTACACATGTACATGGAAAGTTTAAAAGAGTTTAACAAACTTATAAAAAACTTTTAATTTAATACAAAATATTTACATACTGCCACATAAGTATGAAATAACACTTATGCACTGCAAACAACATGTAAACAAACAAAGAGAAGTAGCTCACATTTAAATACAAATTTACTAATCCAGGGTTCGATAGTATTCGACAGTTATTATGCCGCGTGCGCAAATATCGAGAGGAATATCGTACAGCTACTGATCATATACGTTTTAAGCATTCAGTCTGCTCTGTATGAGTCAAATGCCCCGATGAATCACAGTGCATATAGTTTTATACAAACAAGAGACTATAGGCGCCCAACTCAATATACAAAAGTGTATATATAAGTCACAAGGTGGTGTGCTTCGTCAGCTGTCCAGGCCCGCTCTCCCTCCGTACAACCAATCAAACCTTATTTATGCTCTCCGGCCCACCTACATTTCGTACGTCAAAGTTCGCACAATATTCAAGATTTGTTTTATACACTCATGGCACAAAAGGCGCGTTACAAGAGGTCAGCATCTTAATACATTTCAATTACATAGCAAAGTGAACTAGTAAATATATAATGCTCCAGAATAATAGCACTGCATTTATCTTATGTCACTTAAAGCCTTAATTGTTTTCTCTAGAAAACAACTTCTTTTAGGCAGAGACGTATAAAGTGTTATATACGTCTCTGTTTTAGGCAAAACATTTAAATTACAAATAAATATAAATCAGTCCATTTTAGCTTGATTTGGTTTGGTTAAATTTTGTCTAACGTCCTATTAACAGATTAGCTTGGCATTGGGGGGTTTGTAGTGTAATTGTTATGGATGTATTTTTTTTTTTGTCGATGATATGTAAGTATTTTGGCATTTAAACAAATGCGGTTCATCACGTATACAATGTACCTGTTTGACATAAAGGACATATTATATCTGATTTTGGAGTTGCATTCCAGCGCAAAGTCTGTATTGGGAATTTTAGATCGGATGTTCGGGATTCACAAAAAAAATCCTTTCATTTTCATTCAGTTTTGTTAGATTGATTCATACTGAAATTTTGTCTTAAACATGGAGTAGAGTTCACCACGTTTCCTTATTATAACAACCATCCTTTGAACTATGGTTTTCTATGGCTGCTCCTTGCCAAGATTTCAAGATTTTTTTTTATTACGCTCTGATACACAAAGTGTGTAACAAGAGGTCAAACAAAATAACATCAATCAAAATAAAACATGACAGAGAGAGTAGATTACACATGGACAGATTAAGCATTATTTCATAGACAGATTCAGCATTATTTCATAGACAGATTCAGCAATATTTCATAGATAGATTCAGCAATATTTCTTAGATAGATTCAGCAATATTTCATAGATAGATTCAGCAATATCTCAAAGATAGATTCAGCAATATTTCAGAGATAGATTCAGCAATATCTCAAAGATAGATTCAGCAATATTTCAGAGATAGATTCAGCAATATCCCAAAGATAGATTCAGCAATAGTTCATAGACAGATTCAGCATTACTTCATAGACAGATTCAGCAATCTTTCATAGACAGATTCAGCACTATTTCATAGACAGATTCAGCGATATCTCAAAGATAGATTCAGAAATATTTCATAGACAGATTCAGTAATATTTCTTAGATAGATTCAGCAATATTTCATAAGATAGATTCAGCAATATTTCATAGATAGATTCAGCATGATGTGCCTAAGGGTGTTGCCCAAACAAGGAGTCGCTACTTATACTCAAAACAATAGGGGATTAATCTATATATGAGTGGGGTGTTCTCTGAACACATACATCTTTAGGACAATAGGTAGAAACATCAAAGGGAGGGTAGTTATAGTTTGTATCATATATGTACTATATTTACCTGAGATATTTTACCTGTAGATCTACCTGTGATTTTACGGGTAAAATGTTATGATTTTTATTTAACATGCATATATATTTGATGATATTATTCTTTGGAACCCTATATAAGGTTCCAAAGAATAATATCATCAAATATATTTTAAAAGATATTAGATAATTAAACTTAATCATTACATTGAAAATTTGTTAGTTGCATAGAGGAGCTCAGGGGGAAAACTAGAATTCAACTTCCTAACATAGAGCACTATGAATCATAAAAGAAGTTATTTACATGAGGTACAATACAAGTTCAAGTTCTGTAAGGTGCATGAGGTACAATATTATCATCTGCCTGATGCTGGTGCAAATTAAACAAGCAAATTTGTGGAATTTATATCCCCGGCTTGCAGGACATATTGTAGGTTAACATTATTGAGGTTAGGTTTAAACATGTGAGTATTGTGCTGTTGAAACATAATGTATAGCTTGAAATTTGAAGAAGAAAAAAAGCCCTATACCTCATTGATTATCCGTAAATATGCACAAATCACATCGGTTGACAAACTAAGCATGAGTTGGATGTGCATAAGGAATTTGGGTGAAACACCTTAACAATATCTATAGCAACAAGTACTAATTGTAATGGGGGACCATTACAGATGTCCCCCAAACTGCCCCCATAGTCGCAAAAATGCATCAGAAAAGGATCGCATTGCCATAGTACACCTACAATGTACCTACTAAATTATATAAGAGTGAAATTGAGCAATTTCGAAATTGCAATCAATCAGAATCCTCTGTGTAGTTGTTCTGGCAACGGAAAATATGTGATTAAATTTGCTGTCCCCTAATACCAATATATACCAATTTTCATCGAAATCAAACAATATCTTAATTGCGGCTTTGAATCAAAAGCCTCTGTGTGGTTGCTATGGCAACGAAACATATGCAGTTGAATTTGCAGTCCCCTTTACCACTCTATGACGATTTTCATCAAAATCGAACAATATCTGAATTTCCACCAATCAGACGCCTTCTTGTTGTAGCTATATGGTTGCTATGTCAACGAAACCTAAGCGGTTGAATTTGCTGTCCCCTAATATAATATCTCTATATACCAATTTTCATCGAAATCTAACAATATCTAAATTGCGACCAATCAGAATCATCTGTGTGGTTGCTATTGTAACGAAACTTATGCGGTTTTATTTGCAGTCCCCTAATATCCCTATGTACCAATTTTTATAAAAATCGAACAATATCTTAATTTCCACCCATCCAAAGCCTTTGTGAGGTTGCTATAGCAACGAAACCTATGTGGTTAAATTAGCAGTCCCCTAATATCCCTATATAGTCCAATTTTTATCAAAATCGAACAATATCTAAATTTCAACCAATCAGAAGCCTCCGTGTGGTTGCTATGGTAACGAAACCAATGCAGTTTTATTCGCAGTCCCCTAATATCCAGTATATACAAATTTTCATCAAAACCTAACAATATATAAATTTTGACCAATCAGAAGCCTCCGTGTAGTAGCTATGGTAACGAAACCGATGTGGTTGAATTTGCAGTCCCCTAATATCCCTATAAACCAATTTTCATCAAAATCGAACAAAGTTTGAAGAAAATCGGTTAACATTTGTTATAGTTATCGTACAGAAACAAAACCCAGCAGATAATTACTTTTTTCGTTATTCAAGGGGCAATAACTCTGCTAAAAGTGGTCATCGAACTTGGCCGATTCGTTA